GAGGTGAAGACGAAGAGGCAAACCAAGGAACAAATGGAGAGATGACATTGATTACCCGTCACTTGTAATGAAGAATAGATCAATATTGCAAAAAATTACAATACAATACTATTGTTAAATTAATAATTTTGGGCGAGCGAGTACTCGGAAAATTTAAAATGAGTTGTGTTCCTGTTCCCCTGTGTTCTGCGTATCTAAGACAAACGTTTAGTCAATACCTTTTCAGTCCAATAAAATAAACAAAATGTTTACCCGACGGAAAATTTGTTAAATTAAGTATATTGCTAATTTGTTCATCTTTTTTTTAATAATAAAATAAAGATGAACATACGAGCAGCTGTGTCTCGCCAGTAACGCAGTTATGGATTTGCATTTAGAAAAACCCAAAATGAGGGGCTAAGTAGGTGCTAGGTGCTAAGTAGGTGCCAAGTTTAAAAATTAGGTGCTCTTAAATTTTCACCGCAACGAACTGTTGAAATTTGCGTTGCTAGCAAAACGTATCGGTAGCAACGCAATGAAGTTATTAGATATACGATAAATATTAATAGCAAGGAATTAAGTGCTAATTAGGTGCTGTAAGTATACGCAATGACAAGGCGCCCCTAATAAAAATAAAGTTGTTATTTAGAACCAAGCAGATGCAAAATTCAGGTCTTCTTCTGAAAATGGTAAAACTATAGACATCCTGTACTTGCGTACGGGGGTGGAAGGGGGTTGGAATGAGGGTGGGAGGAGGTGTAGGGTTCTGGTGAAGCTCCCCTACTAGCACCTAAACTATAGCACCTACGCTAATTAGCACCTAAAAGGCCCCTAATTTTGGGTTTTTCTAAATGCAAATTCCAGATTTTGCGTTCCTGGCGATACACAACTCATATGAGCACACAGTCCACATGATGGTAAGTGCATGCTGTGGCCAATAGACATTTAAATCCATCCTCGATTAAGAATCAAAATGCAGATACGCTGACACACCTTAGGACTAAGATGGAATACCTCGTATCCAGTAAAAAGGGTCTGCAGTTCTCTACACTCACCATACGAGACACTGCACGCTGGTATTCTGTGAGAGCGTGGTCTTTTGCCGGTCGAACCGACCCATTCGTACTACAATCATAATATAGCTGCAGCGTAGCTCTATCACGTGTAATAACTGTCAAGTTCCTTAACGCTACGCGTACGCGGGCGTTCCGGAGCGCCGGGCTGTTCCGTTTCAAAGCGCGGCGTGAACTTGCGGTTTTTAAGCAAAATGATATGTTGTATTTGAACAGTATACCGCAACTTACTCTACACTTACGCGCAAGAAACATCTTAAAAATTATGAATTTAAAAAATTGTTAGAACTGCTTTTGTATATTGGATTGTACACCTTGAAAGCGAAGCGGAGAGGTCGGGCTTTACTGTCAACTTGTCAAGGTCACGCTACCCGCTCTCATTAAATCTGGGTTACCGTTTTCTTATATAGTTAGTAATAGTATCATATCTTAGTTTTCTCCTAAGTGTAAATGTAAATAAGACTTATCCCTCTTTTTGTATTTCTAAGGGCTGATTTTTCAATCTTCAGATAAAAGTTATCCAATAAATTAATTACAACTTGACTGAATATAAAAAAGCCAAACATTTGAACTATTTTATCCATACAACTTTAATTTTTAATTTGTTTATATTGTATTTTATCCTACAAATGAATTATAACTGTGGATTAAAAAATCGGTCATAAATAATAAGAAAACATTTGTTTTTAAAATTTCATTTGAAAATAACAGGTATACCACACCACGTGTGGTGAACAAACACTTAAAAGGTTGTCAAAAAAACTTTAAAGAAAAAACAGTCCGTTCATTTCCCAAAACCAAACACAATGGAACGAGAGCGAAGCGATGTGTGCCACTTTCACTCCCGCGACTTGTCGCGTAAAAACTGTGGACACTTGATCAGTCAGCGTCGCCCGCTCGATTTCTGTATTTATCCAATTATTATGATAATGCTGCAATGTGTTCTTGCGTGAAAATATTAATATTGATTGACAAATTAACACGCACTTACCTATGCCGCTTTATAGATGCTTTCTTACAGAATTATCATTTTCTGTTTAAATTATGTACAAATAGACGTGGTAGAGCCATGCTGCAGCTATATTACTGGTATAGTTGAAGCAAGTTGGGGAAGGCCCACGCTCTCACAGAATACCAGCGTAAAATAGCAGCTTAACGCTGTTGTATTTCGTATGGTGAGTGTAGAGAACCGGAGACCCTTTTTACTTTTTATTTTTACATCTGCATTTTGATTCTTAATCTAGGATAGATGTAGATGTCTACGGATCACAGCATCCATTTACCATTAGGTGGACTGTGTGCTCGTTTGTCACCCACATCCTATAAATAAAATATATATTTAACTATATGAGAAATAATGACTAAAAAAGGAATCGTACTTCAGTAGTCGTGTGGTGATTAGCGTAAGAAAATCTATCATCACATTTCATCCTGTAGGTTTCGTAAAAACTGACTATGTGAAATGTCAGGAAGACCTCGCGGCTTTTAATACGTGACGGTATAAGCATACTGTTAAGGCCAGACGTAATAGCCCAGACCGACGACGGAAAGTAGGACGGAGAGTAGGAACGAGACGTCTAGTAAGTATTACGATCAGAAATTCACCTTTCAAACGTGCCCATTATAGCAAAAACAACTGATAAGGAATTGAAGCGTAAACTGTAGAATATTTAGATATCATAACAAGACAAGAGATTAGAAATAAAATGGAGAAAGACAGAATTAGATTGTTTAAATCCATTAAGAACAAAGTGTATGTTCGTATGTGATTTATATAAAACACGTGTACAGCATAGTAATTAGTAAACATACCTTATTTCTAGAAAACGTAGAAGTTGATTAAGGGCATAATATGAGTACAGGTAACCATACATACATACAAACATGTGCAAGTCATAAACCTACTTTCGTGCCGCAATACCCGAGTGTTAAACACTCGCCACTGTTACTGTATTTTGTTTTTAATGTACTTACTTACTCTTCTAATGCTTCTACAATAATAAAATGCTACTTATAATAATATAAATCTACTACAAAAATGAAATAGGTATATTATTATCAAGATTAATTCCCTCTCGTTTATGCAATAATATTTCTATTGAGATAGATATCACAATTTATAAAAATGCGCAAGACTGTAATATTAGTATGTTATTGTAGACGTGTGATAAATATTACATCCGTGAAATTAGAGACGAGAGATTTAAATGTCACAGAGCTTTACTATGTATTATTATGAAATATACCACAGACTGGACTGTTATCGGTGTGAGGAAATCGGGGCCGCGCTCGCCACACAATTTGTTTAGCGTGATGACTGATGAGTGAGGAAGGGTAACCGTCTCGAAATTTTTATATATTTATATAATAAGATATATATATATATATGTGTACATATATATATATATATATATATATCTTTATATATAAAAATGACGTGTCACTTTGTTTGTTCGCGATGAACTCACTAAACTACTGAACTGATTTCAATGAAATTTTGCACACTGTGCAGTTTCATCCAACTTGAGAGATAGGATAATATGTGACACTCAATGTTTTTTTATTACGAATTTAAGGATTTTTTATATAAAGGGTCGTCCAAAAGGGCAGAACAACGTCTGCCTGGCCACCTAGTATATATATAAAGTCCAATTTTCCAAAAATTTTTAATATATTTTTTGCGTCTCATAGAATCCCTAAGAGTATACCCGAACTCCTATAATCCTTGAAACGACACTCAGAGCAAGACGCAAGAGTCTCGCAGTCTTGTTCTTGCTCAAATCTGGCAGGGTCAGTCTTGGTCTTGGTCTTGCTAAAATTAGGCGGTCTTGTTCTTGGTCTTGGACTTGCAAAAATGCAAGAACGAGACCAAGACTCAGTCAGACGTCAGACGTCAGTAGCCTAATGGCAGGGCGCGGACCGCGAACTCGAAAGGTCGTGGGTTCGAATCCGCCATTCGACTACTGTCGTGAACCACTTCTAACACAAGCATTTTAAGCTTACTAGAAGTGGTTAAAGGGAATATTAGTAATGTTTAATAGCATTACTAGTATTTAAAAAAAAGACTGCAAGAACAGGACTCATTTTGGGCAACACTACATGGAATGATATAGGGTAGCGGGTATTCTCACAATGCCACTACACGGTAATTAAATGGCTGATATAAATTAATATAGTGGACAGTGGCATTATAACAATTCATATATAACGATAGTGACTGAAAATCGTTTCATAATTTACCCGTTTCCATGAACTGATATATATTTACTATATTTCCCTGTTTTCTGAATCATATAAGATTGTTAGCCAACGCTTATTCACGAGTTGTAATATGATTTCAATTGCATTGTAACTAAGTACCATGTGCACTATCCAGGACAAATATGTATGTTTGTACGTATACTTCTTAATTCTCATTATAACCTCCGACGAGCTTATAACTTTGATTTGTGCGAGACAAAGACATTTAAGTAGTAGTAGTATTTTAAATCTCTTTGGTGCGAGATAATAAGTTGAAAATGTATACTATCATCATAGTACGGACGAAAACGATTAAATGCCTATTGGATAATTCCCTCTACTATTCCACTGTACTACGATTTCGAGTTAGACAAAGAAAGAGTAGAAAACTCGCTGGTCTCGTGGCAACCGCAGTTTTTTTTGTGTTGTTGTCAGTAAGTTATGGGGTAGTGGACTCTCTTACGCTACTTTACGGCAAAAACATAATAGCATTAGTCTTCGCGGACAAGATATACTTCTGCGAGCTATGATATTTGCTGTTATCAGAAAGATACTGCCCATTTCCTGTTTAAGTGTCCCTCCCTGTGCAGACAGATGTATTGGTGATAGTTGCAGACGATTTGACGACACTTCCGTCGCTTACAGTCATGAAAAAATATAACAAGAATATAACGTTGCATTTTGTCACTGGATTGTGTGAAAACTTACCAGCATGGGAATATTGGGCACGACAACGGCATCATCGTCGAGGCCCGAGCTCAGTTCTGGCTGGAATGTGTATGTCCTTTTATAGTGGAAGGAGAGCGTCCCGTTCTCGTTGTCGGTTATGTTCACTTTCTCCCACTCCTCCCTGTTAAATAAATAAAAAGTATTATTTTTTTTCACATGAAACCATTTACCTAGTATAGCATATTATCACACTTAAGGTGAAAGCGCCAGGGTAACCCGCAAAATTCAAATTTTCTTACGTTTTTTGCAACTTGTAGGTCAGTGTCAGGTTGTATGTTTAACAAAATATGATTCGCGACCGTAACGAGTATGTATTTACAGAATTATTATCATTATAATCATCAATACAACCGTCTATGTTCGTATAATCCCATTACATGGTTATTTCCAGAAAAACTCATTCAAAGGGATTATATAAACTTAGAGGGTTGTATTATTGATTTTAATGATAATAATTCTATAAACACATAATCGTTGCGATCGCGAATCATATTTTATTAAACATACAACCTGACCCTAACCTGCAAATTCCAAAAAACGCAAGAAAATTTGAATTTCGCGGGCCACCCTGGAGCCTTCACCTTAACGTTATTAACTTAACGTTATTCTAATACATTAACATTCACGGTCATTGCAACTATGTTTTTATAATTAGTAATAATATTATGATGAGCTGATGAGTGAGGAAGGGTAACTATCTTATAAGGGGTATTTGCCATAAATAGCCACACTTGACAACTTGAGTTAGCAACCGCAGTTTTTTTAGTCGTTATTACGGAGACGCTGCCGCCCATCTCCTGATTTTTTCCCTCAGTCGCTTCTTACGACACCCACGACATGATAATGGGGTAGTAGATATTCTTACACCGCCATAAAGAAGTTGTCTAGTCTAAAATAGTATTTCGCCGGGTATAAAAGCATGCGTTACTTAACCTGCCTGTACATAAAAAAACTACGCAGGTTCAGCTTACAATTAATAACCTTGCAGCTGCTTAAATGTTTTACATCATCATCGGTATCCTGTCTACAAAGGGAGAAGCACATGTCTAACAGTGGTTCTGCATTTGTAAACAGGATGCGGGTTGTGAAGCAAAATAATAATACGTCAAAACGTAAAAAACATATTGTACCACATTATGCTATTAATAATTATTCGTCAAATTCTTTGTAAAAAGCTATTTAATGTCAATCAATTAAGTTAGAAAAAAAATCTTGGCATGAAGAAGAAAATGATACCATAAATGAAGAATAATAATACGTCAAAACGTAAAAAACATATTGTATTTGTACCACATTATGCTATAAATAATTATTCGTTAAATTCTTTGTAAAAGCTATTTAATGTCAATCGATTAAGTTAGAAAAAAAAATCTTGGCATGAAAAAGAAAATGATACAATAAAAGAAGAATAATAATACGTCAAAATGTAAAAAAAAACATATTGTATTTGTACCACATTATGCTATAAATAATTATTCGTTAAATTCTTTGTAAAAAGCTATTTAATGTCAATCGATTAAGTTAGAAAAAAAAATCTTGGCATGAAAAAGAAAATGATACGATAAAAGAAGAATAATAATACGTCAAAACGTAAAAAACATATTGTATTTGTACCACATTATGCTATAAATAATTATTCGTTAAATTCTTTGTAAAAAGCTATTTAATGTCAATCGATTAAGTTAGAAAAAAAATCTTGGCATGAAGAAGAAAATGATACCATAAATGAAGAATAATAATAAGTCAAAACGTAAAAAACATATTGTATTTGTACCACATTATGCTATAAATAATTATTCGTTAAATTCTTTGTAAAAAGCTATTTAATGTCAATCGATTAAGTTAGAAAAAAAAATCTTGGCATGAAAAAGAAAATGATACGATAAAAGAAGAATAATAATACGTCAAAACGTAAAAAACATATTGTATTTGTACCACATTATGCTATAAATAATTATTCGTTAAATTCTTTGTAAAAAGCTATTTAATGTCAATCGATTAAGTTAGAAAAAAAAATCTTGGCATGAAGAAGAAAATGATACCATAAATGAAGAATAATAATACGTCAAAACGTAAAAAACATATTGTATTTGTACCACATTATGCTATAAATAATTATTCGTTAAATTCTTTGTAAAAAGCTATTTAATGTCAATCGATTAAGTTAGAAAAAAAATCTTGGCATGAAAAATAAAATGATACAATAAAAGAAGAATAATAATACGTCCAAACGTAAAAAAACATATTGTATTTGTACCACATTATGCTATAAATAATTATTCGTTAAATTCTTTGTAAAAAGCTATTTAATGTTAGTCGATTAAGTTAGAAAAAAAAATCTTGGCATGAAAAAGTAAATGCTACAATATTAATACTTAGTATATTTTCCACTTTTGGTTGTATTATATTAAAAATACTGACAGAATATATTTTAAAAGACTAATGTACCGAGCGTTCTGCACCGTAGTCACATACCAGACTCAAGATTTATGTTTCATAGTTGTAATGAGTCGGAATTATTCTTATGACGGAGAGCATAATAACGGCATGCTATATTGCGTGCTTGATGATTTTTTCATCCAGCACATCTAGGCCACATTGACATTTAAAAAATAGGTAAACTCTGAGACATTAAAACAGTGGAAAAATATCGCACCGAATTAAAATCAAACAAAAATAGTTGTTACAAGTTGTAAACAACTTAATACAGTAATGAAATGTATCCGCCAGTTCAGCTAAATTCGTATGTGTTGGTTTATATCAAGGATTTTATTTTGCAAATGAATGTCTTGTGCAATGCAACAATTGCTTTTTTAAATTTAATTACAATGGAATTATTTTTAATATTTGAAAGCGTTTTGATTTCAAAAGTAAATACAAAAGTGTTAACGATGATGTAATACATTTAAGCAGCTACAAGGTTAATAATTGTAAGTTGAATCTGTATAGTATTTTATATACAGGCTTTTACTTTAAATATTTTTAAAGCATCATTCATTTAAGACTAGCTTTTCGACAAGTTATATAACTTATAATGGAAATGATAATGGTCTAAAGTTGGCAAAACTTTAATCTACAAACCTACTTGTAAGGTTTGTAGATTAAATGTAAAACATTCCTTCAGCGCTGAATTAAGGTAAATAGGTTCTCTAATATTACATGACAAATAAAACAAACATATAAACAAACCATTTCAGTTCCAGTTACGCAATATTTTTATGCAAGCTAAACTCGACAAAGTTTTTTCACTATTATTATATTTCGTATTATGTACGATATAACATAGTATGTTCTTTTATGTAATTTAAAACTATAGCTACATAATATGTGACATTTCACGGTAATATGTAATGTCTTGTGAGAAATAACGATGTATCAAACCTAAAGTAACGAAAGACCAAGTATAGCCATTCAGCGAGGAAACACAGCCAACGTTCTTGGCACGATACCACGAGGAGTAGCACTGTATGATAATTTAAGTTGTTATAGTTTTTTTTCTTTATTATAGATTTTTAATATTGTATATTTTTCATTGCTATATAATATTTTTATTTTTATCTGAGATGTATATCATATTAATTTATTTAATTAAAACTTGTTGGCAACTATGGTCTTTATGACCCTAATTAATCAACTAATAACATGTAGATGTAGTAATTTTTTTTAAAATTATAACATGATTGATTTATACCTTGATGATATTTTATTACATTAAAAACAAACTCACATTTCAAGGTTTTCCTTTTTTATTTCCAGTTTTAATAACGTCTTAAGTATTTTTGAACAACATTTTATTTTAGGATCAACTATCCGAAACAAGTAACTAATGAAACATATTTATAATTTATTATTTTTTATACCTTTACTATAAGAACTACTTTGGGTATTGATATGAGCATAACTTACATACTCGTAGATGGATAAATATTAAGGTAGATAGTAAATAATGTTGTGTTCACCGACTAGGGTTGCCAGACGTCCTTTATTTTAAAGGACGTCCTCTATTTCAGACCCAAAAATTGATCTTATCCCATTATTTTAAATCTTTAATAGACGTCAAAAGCCTGAGCTAGCTGAGATCAAAAAATTTTAAAGTTACTTTGAGGTGACGTATTGAGAGAGAAACTAAGTTACATTGCCTAATAACTTTTGTTTTTTTTATTAACAAATGTAGCTACTATGGTATCCATAACACCTTTTTATTGAAAACACAATGATATCCTCCATTTTTATCCCATATATTTTATATATATGGGATCACATCCTCTAAAACATGAAACGGGAGCTGGCAACACAATCACCGACACGTCTGCTCAGCGCGATGAGTTATTTTGTTTTATTACTATTGAGATAGTAGATACATCACGGGCGACCAAGTTTTGCTCGGCGTTAGAAAAAAGGATTCTCAGTGATGAATTATATTTAGATATACTTAGAAAGTAAACAAATATAAACACTTAAAATTTTAATCAAATTGATAGAGCCGTTTCCAAGAGACCGGTTACATATTATACATGAATTGCTCACTTAAAAGACGTAATTCGTTATTCTGATCACAGTCTGCAAGGCCCTGAGTCAGACGAATCTGATAAATCTAAAAGGCTAACAGCAGTAATATCACACAATATAGAGTAATTTGTTAAGGCAAAGAATTGAAACATCAATTTTAATAAGTGACGCATGACTCGCGCCGCTTTACCTTCGATTTTAACGGACGATGTGATAACAATTGAACTCTATAATATGACTTATTTGAGACTTAATTTTTCATTGTCTCGTTTAATATTTTAAAATACGTCGAACTTATAACTATTGTATTGTAAGTATATTTTAATTACTTCACTATTTTGCTTCGTTCAATAATTTCCTTACTACGTTTATATTACAATCACACATTATGTAACGGTGAACTCTGCCAATAACACGCATTGAGGCAACTCGGTGGATTCGCTGGGCACTAGACTCCTCTCAGAATTGAGAGGTGACTAGTCCTAGCAGTAAGATGCATCTATGAGTGTTTACTTTAGGTTTTTTACAGCATATGGGTGACAAACGAGCACACAGTCCACTTGAAAGTGCACGCTGTGGCCTTCAGACATCTATTTATATCATCGATTAAGAATCAAAATGCAGATGCGTTGTCAAACCTGAGGTCTAAGTAGGACTTTCAGTAATAGGGGTCTCTGGTTTTCTATACTCAACATAATATGTACGCAAAATGCTGCTATTACGCGACACGGTATTCTGTGAGTTTACGTTAATATATTTTCTGCCGGCTTCCAAAAAGGAGACTGTACTCAATTCGACTGTATGTTTTTATTTATGTGTGTTACCTCATAACTTTTTACTGGGGGAAGCGATTTCGATTATTCTTTTTTTATTTGAAAGCTGGTACTTCTCGTGTGGTGAATATGAATTTGATCATAGTCAGACCAATAGTTTTTGAGTTATTCTTAATAATTTATATTGAAGTCGGCTGTACAAAATTTTAAATTTTAAATTATTCAACTTTGTAAAATACTTAAATCCGAAGCCTACTTTGTTTTCATAGCTTTATGTGTATCTTTGTCCAGATCATTCTATTATATATAAGAAAATAAGTGAAGTTCTAAATAAGTAAATTCATCGTTTATTCGTTAAATCATATCCAAACTTTGTTTCATAGGGAGAATTTGATAAATGTGGTAAAGTTCTGATAAGAGTCTTTTTGCATATTATGATGATTTATGTTACTATTAAGTCATGAGTTCGAATCCGATATTCGAGTACTGTCGAGAAGCACTCCTAACACAAATATTTCAGGTTAAACTAAGAGTCTGCCAATTTAGCCGCATGGACTAAAATTACATAATAGAATCATAATATTGTAATCACTACGTTTACATGAACTATAGCGCTACAAGCAGTTTCATACACACCGCTTTCGCGACGGCGACAATGACGCAAGCGCTCCCCTTGTGGTGATTACTTTGGTAATATGTTACGACATATATTATGTCTATGATATAATACCGATCGGTTGAACGGGATGTTGCACTAGCGTTGGCAATATATTATTAAATTGAGAAGATGGCGACAATAATCGTTATACTAGTCTGATGTGTTTGCAACGTTATAATGTTTTACTAGGTAGAGCTATGTTGCAGCTATATTATAAATGGATCGGCTCGCCCCGGGAAGGACAACACTCTCACAGAATATCAGCGTAAAATAACAGCTTAAAACTGCTGGGTTTCATATGGTGAGTGTAGAGAACCGGAGACCCTTTTTACTGGAAACGAGACATTCCATCCTAGTCCTCAAGCGTGACAACGCAACTGTATTTTGATTCGTAATTGAGGATAGATGTAGATGTCTATGGGCCACAGCATCCACTTACCATCAGGTGGACTGTGTGCTCGTTTGTCATCCTTAATCTATGTAAAAAAGTTATAATAGTCGAAATATTTGCAAAATTATTCGACGTCAAAAATGATGCTATAAATAACTATGATTACAGCCTATCCTTATATAAACCCCACTTATGGACACAGGCCTCCTCTCATTTCAATCAATAATACTATATAATTAATTTAGGATGAACTGCGAAACAAAAGGTCGTGGGTTAGAATTCGCGATTCGACTTTTACCGGGAATCACACCTAGCACAAGCTAGAACTTTTAATCAGCTATTTGTCGGTGGGCTACAGGAACCACTTACGATCAAGTAAGGTCCTTTGTCGCTGTTATATTTACAAAAGGCATACTCACGAGTACACGTAGGGGCCGAGTTCGTCTAGTATCGGTTTGGAGCCATTGTTGAGGAACTCATCAGCGTTGGTGACGTTGTAGACGTACACATGAACGAACGGTCGCACCGGCGGTCGCGCCCACCACTCGAACGTCATCGAGCCGGGGCGGAGCACCAGCTCCTGTAATACAGAGGAATTAGAGTATCGATAATAAGATAAAAGTAATAGAATATTATACAAATCAATACTTTACTTGTATAGATACGAGAATAAAAGAATCCGTGAAAATGGCCAGATATACTTTATGGTCTCCTATTGGTGACATTATACCATTTCATATAATATGCCAGGTGTTTTTTTTTATATAAGAGTTTCACCTGATGGTAAGTGACTACCGCCGCCCATAAACAAGTAGGCTAGAGAAGGAAAACAGCGACAACTATGCTAAACGTGGTCCAGAGATCCTCGATTAAGATTCATAATGCAGATGTGATATTATTCCCTTGAGGACTATGATGGATGCTTCGTTACCAGTAAAAATAGGTCTCCGATTTTCGCTCTTTATGCTGCAATTTAATTTGATATTCTGTGATAGTATGGGCTTGCCAAGGTCAAGACCTGTTACTGCTACCTTTCTTAAAGTTGAAGTGTGGCTCTAACATGTCGGTAAATGTCAGAACTTTAAAATACGAATACAATACAAAGTGTGTTTGGTGGTGATTTCTTATATTTACGCGAACACTACACATTTTTGCAGCATCCGTGATCACGGGTGCTGGAAAGCACCCGAAACGTCGGGAATATAAAAATAGATTAATATACGCGATAAAATCCGTAAAATTAGTTTTAATTAAAAATGTGTTTGGTGGTCTTTATTTATAAGAATAGTTAAGCTATTTCTTAACTTTAAACTGTTTACTGCATCACTACTCACCATTAAAAACCTTAGTCAACCACTAGAATTAATATATAAAAATTAATGTACGAGTATGTTCGTATTTTATGCGCTTCGATACGGTTCATCAGATTGCGGTAAAACTTTGTCAACTTATTGCTTGGACTTGCGCGAAGATTATGGGCATAGTACAATTAATATTTTATACATTAATTTATACTTCATTTTAATTCAATGAATGTATTATCGTTCCTGATTTATACATATATAAGCAAAATTCGATTATTATATTTTTATACGTAGTAGAGCTATATTAATAGTATAGTTGTAGCACAAATGAGTCGGCTCGACCGGGGAAGGACCACGCTAATACCAGCGTAAAATAGCAGCTTAATGCTGCTGTGTTTCGTTTGGTGTAGAGAACCAGAGACCCTTTTTACTGGAAAGAGGCATTCCATCTTAGTCCTCACGGCTGACAACGCATCTTCATTTTATTCGCAAACGAGGATAGATGTAGATGTCTATGGGCCACACCAACCACTTACAGGTGGACTGTTCGCTCGCTTGTCACCCTTATTCTATAAAAAATACCACTGACTGACTGGCTCATCACGATATCTCTAAAACTGTAGACGCGATTGATTTGAAATTTAGTTACTCATTTTGCAATGTAAACGCTCACTAAGAACGGATTTTACGATAGTTCCATAAAAAAAAAAAAACTTGATATTCTATATATATCTACGTTATTATCGGCTAATATAGTGCGCCCGGTGAAACGAGCGGGTATCAGCTAGTTAAACAATATAACTCTTCCAAATTTAAAACGATACTTCTACAATTATTACTTTTTGCAATTGCAATGCGCCGGATACCAGCTCGTAATTTCTAAACAGAAACAGAAACAGAATTTTTTTTATTCAATATAGATTATAAATAATACTTATTGAAAGTAACTCTTTTGTTTAATTACAACTGGTTCAAAAGAAAAACCTCTGTCCTGGGAAGAACCAGCAAGAAACTCAGCTGGACTTTTTTTTTTTAAATAACAGTTTAACATAATTTGTGTAACTCATAACAATCATGTATGTTACACAAATTAACAACACAACAAATTAGAAATAGCTTGGTAGCCATCACCTCATTTCCAGGGGTTATTATCATCCATAAATTCTTTAATATTATAATAACCCTTTTTATACAAACTTAGTTTAATAAAGTTTTTGAACTTTGAGCAGGTCAAGTTTTGTATATTTTCTGGAATTTTGTTTTAAAAGCGTATACATCGCCCCAAGAATGAACTACTGACTCGATGGAGTCGAGTAACTGGTACTACTAGCTTGTGTTTGTTCCTAAAAAACTATAAAAAAATGCCTTCAGTAGAAATAAATAGTCATATAAATGTTATCTGCGGATAAAATTAATACTGGTTATACCACAAGCACTACGATAAGGACTGAATCATTATAATGAATGAACTTCCCAAACTATTACACTGCTGTCCACGTCACAGTGAATGGTTTATCAACTCGTAAATATTTAGGTGAAGGCAAGCCGCCGAGCGAGCATAATTAACGATTCGTGCTGCTTTGCGAAACTGTAAGGAGCTTACGGAACAATCGTTTTGCATACAAACAGATGTCGGATGGATTTTAGTTTGATTTTTTTTGTAGGCTAAACATTTGAGTTAGGTTCTCTGATCGAATTGACGATATAGTGCCGGCATATAGGCTTTTATACTACCTACCCGTGCTCGACAAAACGCATTTGCGATAAGATGAAAGGCACGGAGATCATCTTAAACGCAGTCTTAAAAGCCTATTAAAATAATAGCTTGAATATAATTAAAATAATATTTATGCCCAAATTGGCTTACGCTGGGTTTTGATTTAGGATTTGGGGCGTAGTACACACGAACTCCAATTATGGAATTGTTAGCCATAACATTGGTGGTAGCACTAACACGTTTTAGTAAGCAGTGCGTGACCTGCGCGTACGCTATTGTTTTTGTGATGTGATATTAATTTAACGTTTACGAGTATAGGACAAGCAATCATCATCATCATCATTATAGCCTATCAAACTCGAATACTGAACATAGGCCTACCCATAGCCTTCTAACCACAGGTTTTTATTTTTTAGCTATAATAATAAACACACTGCTTATTATATGGCTTGTTCCCTCTGTTGTCTTTCACGATGCCCATGAGACGATAGTGGAAATGTTAAGTATTACGGAATAATACTACATCGATATTTAATTAAAATCATTTGTGGTGTACTTGTTACAAAACGAGAATTATTAACGCCTTTTAGTCACACAGATATATAAATACTAAGATAAATTTAAAAAATAATAACGTGCTAGAGCCACTAAAGTGGTGTATTGCTGCAGAACTAATGAGTTGGCAACGACAAAAAGACAATCGCGGTTCTATCATTGCAGTTACTGAATCATTTAGTCCAGGTTACGGCTTAAAACACAAAAACAGTTGAAATTAAAATGCTCGAAAGTTAATACTGAAGGAGACTGAGAATTACTTTTTTTAGTACAATCAATCCCGTGCCATCAACACTACATAAATTAAGTAAATTCATACGGAATCAACAACATGTCAGAACATAATTTTACAAGGGAACTAGACATCGAAATCATGGTGTTATTATGCGCCGAATGACTATCCGTCGTCTTCCAAATCAATTTCTATAGTGAATGCGAATCGACTGATTGTATTCGTTATGTTTAGAAAGCAGCTGTGGTAGCTCAGGTGCTGAGCGCTCGCCGTAAATGTCATAGAACGCGAGTAACCCGAGTTCAATCCCCGCCGGCACCATTTAAGTTACACAGTTAAAATTTTAAGTGTTGGTTTACCACGTGCTCGGCGGTGAAAGAAAAGATTGTGAAGAAGCCTGTCAGAGAAATTTAAAAAAATATTTCGAAGGCATGTGATGCCTTCGAAATATTTTTTTAAATTTCAGTCAAGTGTCAGCCATCACGCATTGGGGCTGCGCAGTGGACATTTCCTTGCCCTAAAACCGTCTCTGAAATGGGAGGAAGATACGTCCCAGTGCTATGGGCAAATGCTTTAAATTTCATCATCCTCATCATTCATCATTACAGCCCTTCACAAGTCCACTGCTGAACATAGGCCTCCCCCAAAGAATACCACAAAGCACGGTTCTGAGCCAACTGCATCCATCGATTTCCTGCATATCTTACCAGGTCGTCACTCCATCTAGTGGGGGGACGCCCTACACTTCGCCTGCCGGTACGAGGCTGCCACTCGAGAACCTTTCTTCCCCATCGGTTGTCGGTTCTATCGAGCTATATGGCCGGCCCATTGCCACTTCAGCTTACTAATCCGTTGGGCTATGTCGGTCACTCTGGTTCTACTGCGGATATCCTCATTTCTGAGTTTATCACGCAGAGAAACTCCGAGCATAGCCCTCTCCATAGCTCGCTGAGCGACCTTGAGCTTCCTCATCCGGCCAGCAGTGAAGGACCACGTCTCAGTTCCGTATGTCATCACTGGCAACACGCACTGGGTGTACAGTCTCGTTTTCAAGTTTTGAGGTATACCTGACGAGAAGATGTGCCGTAATTTCCCGAACGCTGCCCAACCGAGTTGAATCCGTCGATTGACTTCTCGGTCGAAGTTGGACTTACCTAGTCGGACTATTTGTCCCAGGTAAACATACTCGTCAACAACTTCGAACCTAGTGTTCCCAACAACTACCGGCATAGGTGTGACATGGACATTAAACATGATCTTTGTTTTGTCCATATTCATCTTAAGACCTATCCGTTGGGAAACACTATTGAGGTCATTGAGCATAGTGCTTAGGTCCTCCAGCGATTCTGCCATAAGGACTATATCGTCAGCAAATCGAACGTGAGTGATGTACTCGCCATTGATGTTGATACCGTAACTTTTCCAGTCCAGAAGCTTGGAAACATCTTCCAATGCAGCGGTAAAGAGTTTCGGGGATATGACGTCACCCTGTCTTACACCTCTCTGCAATTGGATAGGTTTCGTACTCTGATTCTGTACTCGGATAGCCATCGTAGCCCTACTGTACAAGCACTTCAACACTTCGATATACCGACAGTCAATTTGGCATCGCTGAAGGGACTGCAGCACCGCCCAAATTTCGACGTAATCAAAGGCTTTCTCATAGTCCACATACGCCAGTCATAGTGGCAAATTGTACTCCTCGGACTTTCTGTACAATTTGCCGAAGGGTATATATGTGGTCTATGGTGCTAAAGCCCTTTCGGAAACCGCCTTGTTCGGGAGGCTGGAAGTCGTCAAGTCTGCGCGCGAGACGATTCGTAATGACTCTCGAAAACAGCACGTAGACGCGGCTCAGAAGGGAAATCGGTCTGTAGTTCTTCAAGAGAGCGTTGTCGCCTTTCTTGAAGAACAAGACCACCGCACTTCTGCTCCACGCCTCCGGTGTAATGCCACCATGGAGGACGGAATTAAAGAGCTTCTGAAGGACTTCAAGTACCGGTTTTCCACCCGCTTTCAGAAGCTCCGCTGTAATTCCATCCTCGCCTGGGGCCTTGCCGTTTTTAAGGTGCTGGAGAGCCATTCTAATCTCGCTCAAACTGACGTCCGGGATATCATCGGAATAATGTCGGATGAGACTCGCTCTTGGATCGTTACTCAAACTTGCGTGCGGCTCCAACGATGATGTGTACAGCTGCCCATAGAACCTTTCAATCTCACTCAAAATCTCAGGTGCCCCGGAAACGATGCTGCCACATTCGGTTTTCAGCTTTGACAGTTGGCTCTTTCTGGCAGACAGATCTCTGGCAAAGGCTTTGGAGCCTTGGTTCCGCTCGATCGCTTCTTCAATACGAGCTGTATTGAAGTTGCGTAAGTCCCGCCGCATGCATTTGGAGATCTGTCTGTTCAGTTGCCTGTATGCTGTCAAATCTGTTGAAGAATGTAGCTTCATCTCCCGTCTAACAGCCATAAGATTAAGAGTGTGATCGGAGAGTTTTTGTGTTCTTCTGCGGCGGGTCTTGCAGAACTTAGCTCCGACCGCATGGACAGTTTCCACGAGCTTGTCATTCAAATCGTCCACTTCATTGCAGTCTTCTAGGCACTGAAAACGGTTTTGTAACTCGAGCTGAAAGGTTTCGGGACTTTGGATTAGAGCACGAGGGGGACGGAGCGTTGACTTCATTAGACGAGACCTCTCCAACTTAACGTTTAGGTTCAGTGTGCCTCTAACCATTCGGTGATCGCTGCCGGTTTTCACTCTCGCGATCACTGAGACATCACTTTACAGTTGTCGTCTGGTTGTCATAATGAAGTCAAACTCATTTTTTGTCGAACCGTCGGGGCTCGACCAGGTCCACTTCCTGTGGGGCCGCTTCTGGAAGAAAGAGTTCATCATAAAGAGTCCCTCTTTCTCCATGAAGTCGGCCAGCTGCTGGCCCCTTGGGTTCCGTTGCCCTATTCCAAATTTCCCCACTTTCAGCTCACCGTTCTCTCTTGTGCCTAGTTTTGCATTGAAGTCTCCCATTAACACCGTATATTGGGTTTTGGAGGAATGCATGGCTCTAGAGATATCCTCATACATTTCCTTCACCTACTGATCGGGGTGTGCCGAGGTTGGTGCGTAAACCTGTATGATCTTCAGCGAATACCGTTTGGTGATTCTGAGTATAAGGTACGCAACCTTCGTCGACACACTCTCAATCTTTACAACGTTGTTAACGAGAGACTTGTGGACGATAAATCCGACACCTCCTTGGGACAGATGGTCGCCCTCCCGGTAATAGAGCAAGTTGCCGGATTCGAGGATTACCGTGTCCTACCCCTCTCTTCGGACTTCGGATAATCCTATAATATGCCAGCGTAACTTGTCTATCTCTTCTTCCAGCTCCACGATCTTCTCGTCATTCCTCAGGGTGCGTGCGTTGTATGTTGCCAGGTCGAGTCGTCGTAGGTGGCAAACGAACCTCCACCGGAGATTCTTAGCACCGCCTGCCCCACCGTTACCATGGTCGCCACCGTAGCCAGGAATAGCGGGGCCGCCGGGGACTGGGGGCCATCTCTTCGTAACTTTCATCATAGTTTTTTTTTTAACTTTGCTTTACTTTAATTAATGTCTTATAATTAAAAGAGTTTTAAAATTTTACAGAATAACATTTTGAATGTTACATCAGTGTTTAAATATTTTGCAAGAGATTTAAATATAATAAAATTAGGCAAATCGCGGCTCGTGATGTTACAACTCGATTAGAATATTAGGAAGGTTTTACAAACGCAATACATAATATATTATACACAAATTAGGACTTAACCTCGAAAATCCGCAATGAATTTCGCCACTAATGCATGAATTAGCGTAGCAACAAGTGCTTCAGGATGTGATGGATCAAAAAACACTTATATTTCAATTTCATTGTCATTTTTATTCACGTAAGACGTTCGTTTAAAAAAGTAAAGTAAAAGTGCAGTGTTTGTAGTAAGTGTGCTATGTATTGAAACAAATTTACGGCAAGTGCTCCTTTGTTCTACCACAGCTCTTTTCTGACTGTTAATTCATATTTAGACGTAGTACTTTTGCTAGTTAGAGCCATGCTGCAGCTATATTAGTGCTATAGTTGTATCACGAATGAGTCGGCTCGACCGGAGAAGAACCACGCTCTCACAGAATACCAGCGTAAAATAGCCGCGTAACGTTGTGTTTCGTATGGTGAGTGTAGAGAACCGGAGACCCTTTTTACTGGAAACGAAGCATTCCATCTTAGTCCTCACGGTTGACGACGTATCTGCATTTTGATTCGTAATCGAGAATACACGTAGACGTCTATTGACCACAGTAACCTCTTAACAGTTGGACTAATCAGGTGGACTGTGTACTCGTTTGTCACCTTTGTGCTATAAACATATCTCTATTTAATTAGAACATTATAAATAACGCAATGTCTTTATGAATATATCCAATGCAGGCCTGTTTTTCTGAATAGAAGTCCGTCTGGGTTGGTGTAACTCCCTTATCTACCTTGTGCCTATTTCTGACGAGACATTGTGCACCCCACATCTGTGTTATTATTTGGTTAAAAAGCAGGTGTACTTGTAGGCTGTGAGGCATTCCACTTTAGTTCTCAGGCGTGACAACGCATCTGTGGCCTTCTCCGATTAAAGTTATAATTGTTGCAGGTGTCGAAAGGCTCCAGTAATACTTTTTTTAAATTATAAATAACATTATCCATTGATTTGACAATACAAGTTATCTTTTTTCTTTTACAAAAATGGGTAGGTTTGATTCTCACAGATTTTTACAGATTACATTTTGTTTCCTCACAGACAATATAATTTTGCCTTCAAATATAATCGAAATAGAAAAAAATGCCAATATGATATATTAATAATTGTATTTTTTACAAAATATTACGAATTACGAATCACAGTAGATATTCATGCTTTTTTATTTTTAGTAAAAAATAAAAATACGTCATACTTCATACTCGGTAATCTCAACCGATCTAATTCAAAAGTAATTCACGGTTATAACAAGAAAATGATGCAGCGTAAAAACAGTAGACAGAAAATTATTTAATAATATTTGTACAAATACAATAAAGAACTGAATACAAGTGAGTGCATAAACGGTCGTATTCTGTAATAAAAATAAATTTAACTTACATGATCTATAAATAGTCTGACCCAGGTCCCGAAAAATATCGCGCATATAATTCCGAGCAGCAGCAAAACCACAGCGGTGGCCAGCACGAACCCTGAAATTAAAAAAGCACATTAATGTCTTCATAATTTAATTTTCTCTTTCTTATTTTAATTTTCTTAATCTTCATAATTTAATTTCTTCATAGTCTAATAGTACCTGTAATTTAGTGCAACCGGGAAAATAAAACCTTGGCGTAATCTCTATTATATAAAAATCAATTACTTTCCGTTAGTCTCGCTAAAACTCGATAATGGCTCGACTGATTTAGATGAATTTTTTTGTGTTTTTGGGTGGATCCCTGGATGGTTTAGATTTACAATTGGACCAGGCAGGTGGCGCTGTTGTCGAGATGCAGCAATCACTCGTGCGAAACCGGGGCGAATCGCTAGTTAAAATTATATATACTATATTGTAAGGCCCTTAATACGATTATTTTGCGAACAACTAAAATGAAACATTTTTGAAGTGATTTTTTTTTTCAAAAGATTTTACAGTGTTCACTCCGAACTTCCTTCACGCCGAAAGCACTTCACTGAAGACTTAACCTAATAACAGTTCGTGTAGACGGGAAGTCTAAAATTCGTGCCAAAAAGTCATCGCAAAACACTTTTTTTTACAGATTATTGTGTTCCGTGTGGACGTGTATGTTCATACTTGTTCGATCCAACTTATCGTCAACATAAGTTAATCCGTTCGCATCTTGCACAGTATTTGTAAATTACTGCACACCATGAGATCTATAAGAACAACTGACTTGTCTGTTACGAGTGGAAGATGTACTCCGAAAAGACTTTTGATCGCACTACAGTATGCACAGCGTACGATCGAGCGAGCATACAGCGAGCGATACAGAGAGCGTGTGGGTTCCGCTAATCATTTCTCTTAAAATTGTTTGTTGGAATACATTCAGTTTTTGTGCGCTTAAAATTTGTGTCATCAATAACAATCATTAAGTCAAATAGTGAAAACGTATATTGAGTCCATCAATTTTGAAAAATTAGGATAATTGGTTAAATTTATTTTGCATTAGATTAAACATTAATTAAATCTATCACGCGGCAATTTCTTTGAGTGGGTCGATTTTCTAACCTTAACCTTTGATAACTTTCACATTATACAGTTTGACCATAGTACCACAGAATAAATAATAGTACTACTACCACAGAATAAATAATGGTATTATGCCACTACGTAGTACTATTATTTATCTTTAGGTTTTAGTTTACCTTTACCATTCATAGTTAAATTGGATAAAAATTGATCACGAGTTCATTTCGCGTATAAAGTTTTAATCGCAACATAATATAATATTTAAATATATTTAAAAAAAAACTCTAGACATGTAACAAAAACTTCTAAAATTCAATAAAAAAACCAACCCGGGTATAGTGACTATGAACTTTTTTCTTTTTATGCATGAAGAAGATACAAGGAAAATATTGTAATAACTACTTAAACGTTTTGTAATAACTCTTGCGATTTACAGCTCTCAGCTAGCATTAGCAATAAAAAACGGTATACGCTCGCCTGAATAAGAGGTTTTTTTGTATATACTTAAGCCTGTGTTCATCTGTATATGAGGTAATCTCGCAATCCTCTTTGACCGTCCCCATTAATAGGTTTTATGAATTTTTCTCGCGTTCTAGGATTAGTGATACTAGGATTCCTGCCATCACGCTGAGTAGGTTAGCGGGTTGGTGAGAGCAAAGTCGATGACCTGCCCTATGATGCCCTACATGTTAATGGTACAGGCTTAGCTTTACAAATTCACTTTTGTTTTGTAATATCACGTTATAATCGAATGGAATGACAAACGTTAGGAAATTATTTCACTCTGTTTAGTTTTTCGCAATCAGTTCAAAAAATAATTGACGGCTAAAATGAAAGGTTTTATACTAGTGGTCTAAGCAGCTCTTGAACAGATTTATTCAATGCGAAAACATTTTGCACAATAATTCCAAGTACTTTAATTTTACTTTTAATGTTTTTAAGACTTTTATAAGTCAGTGCTTAACTGCTATTCCACCTGATAGTAAGTGTTAATGTAGCTGAATTTGGTAGAACTTACTGGCTTAGCTTAATACGTGTCTATTCAATCTTGTTGAAGCGTACTTCAAATATATACACAAAGCTGAACATGAAAACGATGTGGATATTAAAAAAAAAACTTTCTAATTAACGGGTTGGTAGTGCAGTGGCTAAGCGTTTGGCTGCGGCCGTGCGGACCGCGGGTTCAAATCCAGTATGGAAAATGTACTAATACATATATCCATATAAGTACAGATAATTTTTACGGGCCTGGATATTTGTCTATGTGCAATTTATGAATGTAAACCAAGAATATAGGCAACTTTCTAGTGTAGAGGTAACGTTTTTAAAATATTTGTTTAATTTAAACCTAAACTTACCTAATGCAACATAATACTGGAATTTTTACCAATTTCTATACAATGTATCACATTTTATTTTAGTCAGTGTTCTTTTTTCACATTTAATGCCAAACTGAGCCGCACACAACATACCTGGGATAAAATCTTGTATGAATGTTAAAATTCTTACCACGAGTGTAAGTTATATTCTTACTTGTGTGAATCACTATTTCTAAATGTATACATTCTAAGGAAGAGGCTTATTGATATTAATAAAATGAAAACGACGTACAATGTCGTGTATCTTCATTACAGAACGCGCTTCTACGAAACTGAACGCGCATACGTGACAATATTTTGCAAACACAAACGTTTAAGCCAACATTTTGTTTTTGAAAACACGGTAGTGAATACTCCTTATACGCACAAGCAAAAATAATATTTAAACCTTTTAGTTAAAGGTGACTTCTGAGAATATTTTACTAAGTTGGTACAAGCTAATACGAACGGATGTACAAAAGTGCTACATGTATTCCAGCTTAAAAGGATGTTATGAAAAACGTAGCAAATGGTGTCGTCAACCACATGATAATGAAGTTGACATGGCATAGGTTTCAAGAAATGGCGGTTTACACAAAGTATCTAATTCCCAAATATCTTTATAAACCCTTGTACGTTGTAAGTTTGAATAATTAAAGATTAACAATTTTGTACAAGCGACTTCAATATAAATTATTAAGAATAACTCAAAAACTCTTAGTCAGACCTTAATCAAATTTATATGGAACTACATGTGAAGCACCAGCTTTCAAATAAAAAAAAGAATCATCGAAATCAGTTCACTCAGTAAGAAGTTATGAGGTAACACACATAAAAAAATATACAGTCGAATTGAGTACCGTCTCCTTTTTGAAGTCGGCAGACAATATAAGTAGGAGCAACAGTAAAACCACCAACTTGTTGTATCAAAAGTCAAGTTTTGATACTACAAGTTGGACTCGATTAAACTTAAATAAATAATTAATTACTACAGAAATTTGATAGTTTAAACTACACGGTAAACTAATTATAATAAATACTCATATTCCTATTATACTGTAAAATATACATATAATAATATTTGAAAAAAAAAAACAGTTGGCAAGTTACAAACAACTAGGAGGCGAAGTATTCAAATTCCTTGACTATGCAAGTGGAGCAAATTAGTTCTTAGAACTAAAAGGTAGAAAATACAACAGATTTAGAGTAATATGCTTAAAAAACTCCTTTTAAAAATTTGCTCCGATCACTTAAACAATAAATCACCATTAAAATAATGCGTTCTTTCAGTTATAAATTACTTATTTTTTAAATCACAAAATTAAAATTTCTCGAGCACACAGGCGTTAAGTAGCCACAGCGTCTCGGTTCTACAGGATATATTTTGGCAAAAAATTACATGATTTAATTCCTCTCTCTCCCCTTCTACGGGCTGTAATACGAGCATATAATAGTTAAAAAAAAGTTTAGAATCTAATTAAGACAAGTATGAAGTGACGACCTAGTAAGAGATGCAGGAAGTCGATGGATGCAGATGACTCGGGACCGTGTTTTTTGGCATTCCTAGAGGGGGCTTATGTATAAATGGACCTGTGAAAGATTGTAATGACGATCAAGGTGATGGAAATGAGTTAAGGAAAATTTGATGGGCCTGCTTGTTTTATTTCTAACATGTAATGGATGGTTAACATGAACAGATTTTATTTATATGTAGCGGACTTTGTGATTTTAGTGGGATAATACTTTAGGATTCTTGTAAATCTGAATCCTTATGAAATATTAGGGTTTGATGAAATAAATGTCTATGAAGATATAATGTAATGTATATGAAGATAAGACTTTGGTCCCTTGGAAGAGAGGCAAAGTGCTGTGGAATGCCACGAGCTAATTTTCATTTCAGAGGTACGTCGTTTAGTTCAGGGGCTGCATCAGAAGCTGCCAAACTGAGCAAATGGCGCAAATATGAGTTTCTGAGTGGTAACTTTATATTTGTGCCACTGGCTGTAAATACTATCGGTCCGTGGGGTGCACGTTCTCGGGTGAAGTTTCTAATGGAACTGAATAACAGAGCAGCCCTCTTGCTGTTCTTTTCTCAGTCCAAAGCCAAGTATAGCTATTCAGCGAGGAAACGCAGCCACAGTTCTAGGCACTGTACCGCGAGTATTAGGATTGTATAATAATATTAGTTTTCAGTTTTATTTTCCTTTTATTATTATAATAAATATTGCAAACTATTATGGCATGTATTTCACATAATCAATAAAAATGCTTTGTAAAACAAAAAAAAAGTTAATTTTACTAGAGTTGTATTAGCACCAGAAGTTTTTAATTAAATACAGCGACCGATATCTGTTTCAATTGTTAGAATTTTGTATACTGATCTGCACGTAAGAATTGTCAAGTAGTTGACATTATCTTGAATGTTAATAAATTACAAGCAACTGCTAATAAATTTTGCACCTATTGAACTGAAGTTTGAAAAAAGTCACGTCTATGTTAGAGTCCGTTTCCATTGTATCGTGACGTTTTTCTATTTAAGAGAAATAGCAAACATGATTCTTGATCAAATCTGATTGGATGCAAAAGCTTAGTTATGATGCTACAGCAAATCTGCTTAATATAAATTCATGATACGGAAAAATAA